TCCCCCCCCCCCCAAAAAAAAATAGAAGTTAAATTACACCCTTGCCCAAGGGTCCTACCCCTGGCCTGGAGCCCCGAGTCACCCCCTCCCCCTGCTGGGCCCTGGAGTCTTTGTAGCATGTTGAGGGGGGGCCTCAGAAAGAACAAGGTTGAGAACACCTGCTTTAGCTCAAGCACCGCTTCACATTACTAAACCCCTTTATTTAGCCACACCTCTAGAAGGAGGCAAAGACCTACACTGGCTTTAATATGGGTTATCCTATCTCAGCAACAGCTTTTGTCCTCTGGCTTGTTGTCCTGGTATCTGTCCTTTCCCTCTACTTTTCCATTTTAGTTTAAATATATCAAGTCTATAGAATCTCAGAACTTGGAGTTTCTAAGGTTTCATCCATGTTCTCTAGCAGGTTCCAAATCTGGTCTCTGCCGGATCATCTGATATTCTGACATGGAAAAAGGAAACTACATTCAACAACTAGAGCCTGCTTCTGATTCAGATTTCCAGTTCAGTCCTTTTTGTCGACCAGGGTTCCTGTCTGACTAGATGTGAACTGTGGCCTGATGTAACAGAACCAGGGAGGGTGCAAGGATGTTTCGCGCCCTAGGCAAAACTTCCAACTTGCGCACCCCCCTCCCCGAGCCCCTGTGGCAGCTCTCTGCCCCCACCCCTGCCCTAAGGGCCCCCACCGCAGCAGCTCCCCCCTCCACCCTGAGGCCCCCCCTGCAGCAGCTGCCCCCTCCACCCTGAGGCGCCCCCCCCTGTGGCAGCTCTCCCCGGTCCAGGGAGCCGTGCGGCAGCTCCCTGCCCCAGCTCACCTCTGCTCCACCTCCTCCCCGAGCACGCTGTCACTGCTCCACTTCTCCCGCCTCCTAGGCTTGTGGCGCCAATCAGCTGTTTGGTGCCACAAGCCTGGGAGGGAGAGAAGCAGAGCGGGGCGGCGTGCTCAGGGGAGGAGGCGGAGCAGAGGTGAACTGGAGCGGGAAATTCCCCTGCGTGCTGCTCCCCCCCTCTTTTTTGCTGCAGGCAGCCCTCCCCGCGCCCCCCTGCCCCAGCTCCCTCCACCTAAATGCTAACAACGACCGGAGCGGCCGAAGATCCGGCTGCCACGGTTGCCGCCGAAAGGCCGCCCCTGCAAATGCTAGCACCCTCGGCAACCGCCTAGGTCGTCTAATGGGTTGCACCGGCCCTGAACAGAACTGTTGTTTGTACCTTTTCTGCTTTCCTTTTAATCTGTTTTTCTTTCCTTTTGGGGAAACTGTAAATGGAGCTTTATCAATTGTTCCCAAGATGTTTTCAGCTAATCGTAATAATAACCTCATCATTTAAGAAAAAGTTTAAGAAAGCTGGCTTTAACTTTCTTTTCCTGTACACTTAGAAATATGCAACAAAGAGTCCTGTGGCACCTTATTGACTAACAGACGTATTGGAGCATAAGCTTTCGTGGATGAATACCCACTTCGTCAGACGCATGCATCTGACGAAGTGGGTATTCAGCGACGAAAGCTTATGCTCCAATATGTCTG